GGGGGGAGCCCGGGGGGGGGGGCGGGCATCCCCTGCCATTTCGCGCTCCGGTTGCGGCGGGTTCGAGTCCCGCTGGGACCGGTGGCTGCGGCGGGGTTGACATTCGCGGCCTTCACCGCGGCGTCAGGAGCGGGAGCACCCGCGTACGGCGGAACGGCGTATGTGCAAGCGTTTGGAGCCCGGAAACGCTGCGCATGGAGCTGCGCATGCAGCTGGAGGGCAGCAGGGAGCAGCATTGGGCTTCGTGACCCATGGCGCCGGGTCCTGCCAAAAACTCGTGCCGGGAGTGGGATATGGGTGGTGATTCCCTGTAACGGGTGATGCGATATTGCTTGTGCTGGTTTGAATGTATAGGACTTTATAGCATTTTTATGTGTTTTGCGTAGCATCGTTGCATATTTTGATTATTATTTCCATCGTGAGTTCTCGAAGCTAAAGCACCTATGAAGGTGCAATGAGGTGGACGTGGGAAAAAAGGTTCAAGTCCAGGGCTAAAATGCCACTTCTATAGGAAAAAATAGTGTTATGTAATATTCAAAAAATGATAACTCTCTTTTGAAAAAATATCTTTCGTTGTGTCAATTTCAAATGGAAAATAAAATTTTATATGAACTGAGTCAGCCTTGAGGAGGGGACCCCCCATCCATCCTTGTTTTGGTCCAACTTGGAGCACAAGCTCGGTGGGGCAGGAAGACACTGTGGTGCAAGCCGGTCGCATCCTCCTGGGCTGCTGAGATGACAGGGGAACTGCAGAAACCCTCTCGGGATTTTGGAGATAAGCGTGGGCTGTAGAGCTCTCTCAGCTGCCAGTTTGCAGGACTCCAGCTGAAGACACACAGGTTTTAAAAGGAGATGTACAGGGCAGATTGTATTTATTTATATATTTATTTTAAACATAAACAGAGGTGTATGCCCTTGCTTGATTGGCTGACTGATGCAGTTCATGAGCGGAAGTGGCTTAAGGGCTATATCTCTGCTAATATATTAAGTTCTGTGATAAAGTTCTGCTGCCTTTTGAAAAAAATGGGGCTTATACTTTATTGCATTTTTAAAGAAAAGCTTACTTGAAATGCAGACTTTTGTATCAGTCCTTAAAAATAAAATTCTCCACGTATATTTTGGAAAAAAAAAATCATATGAGCTGTTTATTGCTATTAGTAGTAGCATTCACATAGCCCTATCTTTATTCTCATTTTTTTTACAAGTAAACTTTCCCCACAGAGCTTTTTAATCTTTGCTTTTTTCTCCTGTTCTTTCTTGCAATGTTTTAGAAAATTGGAGATCAAATTAATCTTTGTTATAATTTCATCTTTTCCAGAAGATTTAGTCCAAGGTGAAGTTCACTCCCAGTACTTCATTAAATCTTGTCAGCAATATTAATTAGAATATTAACTTTATTTATTACTTAACAGCTACAATTGTAATAACAAACTCTGTAATTTTTGCAAATCATGATTTAGAAAAGGTTTCTGGTAGATTGTGTGCTATCATTAAGAACAAGGTGAATAATCTCACTCATTAATGTTTAAGAACCTGCTTGGTCCCTGGATATGAAGGTAACATTAATTCTCACTTACAAGAAACCTTTGCAGTAATATTTGTTACCAGTAAATGGCAGAAGTGAGGACAGCAGAAGTTAACATATGACTCCTCACTGTTCTTTTCATAGTGTATCCCTGTTGCAACACTGCTTGTTTGAAAAGACATTCTAAACAAACTGCAAAGAGCTGGATGTATTTTTAAGTTTAATTCAGTAAATATTATCATCCCCCAGTGGCCTAAGAAAGTTCTGCTCCCCCTATACCAAGACTGCTTCAGGGGACGCGTTCAGCTTTGAAGATCCACCGCTCATGACCTTGACTGGGCTCTGACCAGGGGTTTTGGGTAAACAGCATTGCGCCAGTGGCACCCAGCGCAACAGAGCAAACATGAGAGGCAGTGCACAAATACCCGCTCTAAAGAACATATAGGTATGCCTGTGCCAGTAAGTGTCTCATCTGCACAGCAAAAAAAAAGAGGTCCTGGAACCATCGGGTCCCTATTTTACTATTATAATTCCTAATAACCGGTTTGCAGTATAGGTGTCATTGCTACGTAAGGCCAGGAGCAGTTTCTCAACAACCGTATCAGTTGGAGGGTAATATGTAAAATGAATAGGTTTTCTGCTTTGAAGAGAAAGCCTCCCTGATTCCATTTTTAGAAGAAACTTAAGCCACATTTTCAGTTCTTTGCGAGGCTTCATTTACTTAGTGGGAATTGTTAACTGTTGTAGTTACAAGGTTGAAGGAAACAATATCCTTGACTGTTTCTTAGTCATGCTATAACCAGTACAATGATATTGATCAAGTTCTGCTACCAAAATTGTTCTATAGATATAAATATTTATGTTTCTCAATATACCTTTTTCTCTCTGTGGTTCCAGATGTAGACTGTCATGGGGAAAGCATTTTTTGCCAGTGCACATTGCATCTCCATGCAGATACCGCTGTGCTGGTGAACTTTTGCAGTGTAGACAAGGCCTCGGTTTGCCATATAAACTGTAGCATAATCTCTTTTTATGGTCTCATTGGGCACGATGAAATAGCCTTCGTGTGGTATAAATGTGTTAATTTGTTGTGCTTCCTGGTAAACCCCAGGGAAACACAACCAACTTACTCTCTTGGGGAAGCCAGTGATAAGTGCTGGACTTGGGAGAGTCAAAGGCTGAATTTCACTCAAGTCACCTGTAGCCCTCGGGGTTTCCCATGCTGGGTCTCAGCGATGCGCTGGCTGCCATGCCAACTCCCATCATCTGCACAGGCGTCTCCTGTTTTTCCATGACAGACCCTGGAGTACTTCATACTTGAAGAAGGACACCATAAATACCAGTTACTCTAGAATATGGCAGTAGTTTCAGAAAGAATTTATAACAAATATTAAATTAAGATGTGCGTGTGCCAAGACAAGATGATTTAAGGGTAAAGCTCTACCTTGGGACTAGTGAGATCTAGTTTTAGTTCTCTGTCTTACCACAAGCTACCTGTAAACTCCAGGTCAGCAGTTTTGCATCATTTCATCCATGCCCAATACATAAAATGAAGGTGACAGGATTTCCCTCAGAGATATGGTGGGGGAGAATTGCATGTAAGGTCTGGAGATGCCCAGAATCAGTGATAACAGGGGGCATGCATTATCTTGGCTAGCAGTGGAAATAACATGATAAAAACATCAGTTTTGGCCTTAGGCAGATTTCTTCGGCAGAAAGAGGGAGGTTTGTCTTCCCCAAAATGTAGTAACAGAGGTTTGGTGGAAACAGTAACAGATGTTTTGGTGGAAAACATCAAATTTGGTAGAGTAAGAGATCCCTGAGCCATAGCTGATTTTGCTCAAGCTGTTTAATAATTAAACTGGCCTGGTTAAATTTTCTTCATATTTCAGGAATCTCAATAGCTTACCAGAATTCTGACAAAATAACGAATACAGGAAAAAGCACTAAACCAAGTGATTTTGGCTTTTCTCATCTTTATTTATCGTAAAAACTCCCACCCTGTTACCTTTGAAATGGAACTTCAGCCCATAATTTGCTTGTCTTCAGACGTTAATGTGAATGGCTTCAGAAAAGTGCACCAACTCAGTATCTTTTATTTAATTCAGTGTAATATGATCATTTGTAATACACGAAAAAAGCACAGGTTATGCCAACAATGAAATGTTAAAACAATGCAGCAATATGCCATATTCTTAAAAAGCATCGGAAAGCATGTTTGATTTCACTGCTATGATTGCAAATAACTTCACACCATATTCTTTTAAAAGATTGTTAAACATATTTAAATAATGATTATTACAGAAATGGTTTGTCCGCTACATAGAGGAAAACAGTAAATCAGTATGCAAAATGTAGTTCTTTTAGTTCCTTCACAATGTCATGTTGCTAAAGGAATTCAAGTGCTGCTTTGTGCTTACAATAAAATGATTTTTAATTAGAGCTAAATATATTTTTCCCACAAAATTATTAATGTAAAGAATAAAGTGTTTTTCTCTGTCAACTGTTTGAGTAGGCCTACTTTATCATTCATTTTTTTAAATTAAACTAATTGCGTGAAGTTTCAGGTTTACAGAGAGTGTAAAATAATTCTAATCTGTAGTTTGCTGGCATGTCAGAATATTCAAAGCTCAGTTTTGCTAGTTAATTTAGACTGCATTTATTGAATGTATTGTATAGTTCCTTTTTTATTATTTAGACAACTATAATCCAGAAATTTCATAGAAGTATGTAACTGGCTTATGAATCTTCTATAATTATTTTTTCAGAATAGTCACTGAGCTACTAAGGCTTCCCCCTAAGGAAAACCGATTTGTTTTGCTTTACAGGACTTAAAGAGACTGAGGCTTGCATATCTGTCCAGGTACCATCAGAACTATTTAGAAGAATTTAACATTTTGTACCAAGTAATATTTAATGTAATATTTCTTTTTTAGTGTAATATTTCTGAAACATTCCAATTTTCAGTGGGAATAAAATAAGAAAGGAGGCGTCATAATCTGTGATATTTGTCATTCTGTTTTTAGGATGTTCACCTTTACAACGGTTTTAAAAGACCTGTGATTTTTGAGAAGATAGGTAACTTGTGTAATCTGAACAGGAGGTACTTTTAAGGATTTAAATATTTATTTGATGCTACCAGCAAGAGTCTCTGGGGCATGTAGATAAGACTTGTCCAGAGAGATTGCTCAATAGAGAATGTATTCCGGCACACGTTGGAGAGAAAAGTTAAATGTTAACAGAAAGATGGTGACTTCTCCAAAGGACTGGCCTTATCATCACCAAGGTGGGAATTTAGGCTAGTATATATATGAGCACAGAGGCGCTCTCGCTGTCAGCACTGCTGGTGGGAGAAGTTCACTGAGCGGCTCAAGCAAGTCAGCATCATGAAACTGCTCCTGCTGTTCCTGCTCTGCACCTCTATGGTTAAATCTCAGGTTTCCACGGACTATGATGAAGAGGTTGTAATACTGATAATAATTAATTGATACTAATAGCAGTAAAAATAATTAATTTTACTTAACTGTATGCATGGTCAGCATCTGTAAGTTAGCTAAGTTGGAAACTAGGAAGAAAATACAATGCACATTCTTGCTCCGTCTGTGCTCCAAGAAGTAGCTTTTGCATTTTTTCATATATATGTAACTGCAAACAATTTTTTTTCTTTATTTTCAGATATATTTTCTTTCTATTCCCTTTCTTTCTCTGTAGGAAATTAAGATTATAAATTGGTTAGATCAGTTATTTAGCTAAATCAATTTAAGGATATGTATTTAGCAATGTAACAGAAAGGAATTTGTCAGGGGCAAGAGAGTAAAAGTGTAATTAATAGTGTCTTGTCTCAAAGTCAGCCAAAAATTTCAATGGATTCAATGGACATTAAAAGAGAATTTACTACCAGATCATATAACTTTATGCTTGAAATTGGGAAGATACGAATTACTAAATAAAAAGACAAAGAATAAGGATCTAAAGTAACAATTTAATCTGTATTTAGTTTTGTGTAAGTAAAATATTTAATTTGAGATTTGATTTAGATTCTCGGGCTTGTTTTCTTAATTTTAATATATTTTGAAAATCGCCAATTTTCAAATGGAGTAGGCCAGGACAATCAAAATAATAGTACTTTCTGTTCACAATATAAGTGTTTGGGTTTTGCATTGAATACCAATAATTCTATTATACCAAATCTTTTTCAGCAATTTTGTGATTTGCATGCTGCCTTCTTTTGAAATTATTTTAAGGCTGGATCTTTATAAGTCGTTATTTGTAGCTACGCCTCATTGGGACGGGAGCTGGTAGAAGATTTTGATGCAGTTGTTCAAGCAAATGTTAATTCAAATGCTTTAGTTTGAACAAATGCTTAGGGACGAGACCTGTTTTCCTTGCTCAGTCTATCAGATATTCAAACTGAGTCTTAAGATTGAAGTTTTTCAAATAAATAAAATTGTTAAGGTGTTGCTTTTATTTATCGAAAGAACTGAAAATCCACAGGAGTAGAATTCACTTTAGGAAACATATCTTATAAATCTTATTGCTATTAAAATGTGTCTTGCAGGATAAGACACTGGGAGCTGCTATAGTTCCTATTTCTGACAGTGATGAGGAATACGTGTATCAGATAAAGTTGAGAAATCCAATATGATAGACGCCACTGAATAATTTTACCAATTCTGGCAGTTAGCAGCTGTCTTATAGCCTGACACTTGACGATGTATTCAACTTTCTGAAATAGTAGTAGTTCAGTGAAAATGAGGGACACTAATAATATAATTATATTTGTCTTACTCATGTGAGTGTCTAATTTCTTTTTAATCCTACTACTTCAGGTTTCATGATATGGAGTGACTTTGAAATACATGAACTTTAATCTTTGGTCAGAATGAACTATAGAAACATTGTTTGCTTTACTTTGAATGTGTTTTTGTTTGGTTAGATTTAGTCAATGTGAGTTGGAGAAGAAGGCAGTACTGTTATTTTTATATCACATCAGTGTAGTATTTACAATATTTCTTTTTTATTTTCACCCGGTAGATACCCTTTGTTTTGTTTTTCTTTGTTGTTCAAAATATTAAAATGTCAAATGGTTGCCTTCATCCCGTGCATGGCATTTAATAATAATGATCCTAAATTCAGGGAGTTTCTTTCTCTCTGGTTTTTGTAGGAAGATGCCACTGAGTTAGGGCCTCGAGGCCACAGGCCCGTGGACAAGAGGTGGGAAGCAGCCCCAACACTGAGACCTGTGGCACCTCCCATCAGTGGGGGCGGATATCAGCCCCGGCCACCAAAGCGAACAAAGACGGGTGAGCAAAAAGGTCCCGTCATTTATCCTGATGCTGGTGGCTGCAAGCATCCTTTGGATGAGCTGGTAGGTAGATCTCCATTTTATTGGAAATGTAAATGGATGCAATGAATAATAGTCTGGACTTGATAGGACTTGATTAAGATGAATAATTTCATAGAGCCCATGGGATTAGTCACCGAGTCAGACAACCTATACGGAATAAAGAGCAATGACATTTGAGCCTTAAATGATGAAAGAAAGTATCTATGCCTTGGCCTGCACTTTGCCTTGCATAGTTAACTATTAAGAAATATGGGAGATAGCTCTGCAGAAAACCTAAATTGAATTTCAGGTGATCTCAAGGCTCCACAGGGACTAAAGAAAACCCTCCAATACCTTAAATTTTGTTTCAGCTGAGAATTACAGTCTATCCTCAGTTACTGTCCTCGCCCCTCTAGAAAAGCATGCAAATATCCTGAGATCTACCGCCTTGCATTAGTTCACCATACTATCTCAGCTCTGCTCTTTGCCAGAAAATGTAACCATGCTAAAAGCCATCTTAGTTTCTAAAAGTATATCATTTCAACATGAATGCTAGTAATGTTTAGTTAATGACTGATTATGTCAGAATCTCACCCTGTCTGAGGATTTTGGGTCTCATGAGGCTTCAAAATTTCTGACTCTTATTTCTTGGCACGTATCTTTCATGAAGCAGTGCTTAATACTGAAGAAACAGTGCACAGTTTTGATCATTTTTTAATGAAATGTACTTAGCTGTTCTTTATGAAGGATATATATAACCAAGGTGTGCAGAACATGGTTGATTCTTATCTCTGAGGTTAATGAAAGAGGAAGCAGGTAGATACATACATCCACAGGCACCAGGTAGTTCCTGGCAGGCTTTGATCATAGTTTAGGTGGATTAGTTGTGAACATTCAACAGCGAGAAAGTGAAAAGCAGATAGTGGACTAAAGTGTGGAGAGGCCCTTTCCAAAGAATTTCAACAAAGGAATCCTCCTGGGGAACTCAAGGCTCCTTCCTACACTTCCAACTGCAGCTTCTTTCTAGAAGTTGATTATCTTGAATTCTTATCAGTGTGATTAAATATGTGATTTCACGTATTTAATGCTGACTAAGCTATGTTTTCAAACGTATAGCCATACACTGATGGGATAAAAATCTCCTCTTTTTATTTTGCCTTTTATTCACAGTCCTTTTTATTTTTTTAAGGGAGTACTGTGCCCAACTGGATGTGAATTGCAAACTCTACTGGTAAAACAGGAAAAAAATGTGAAATCAGTTGTTCGTGATCTAAAAGACAAAGTGAACAAGTTCTCTGACAGCAGCACAACTTTCTATGAATATGTGAATATTCTAGATGATAAATTGGCAAAGAGACAAAAACAAAGAAAAGGTATGTTATTCTTATGAGTCACTAATGTGAACAGTATTGCAATTATATTGACGTTGTTATCACTATTTGTTAAAGGAATTTCTTAAAAAAAATAAAGATGCAATAGAGCAGCCATCTAACAAGCTAGATTTCTATGACTATGTCATCATATATCTTAAAAAAAAACATATTCTGAGGGAGGAAAAGAAATGGATCTCACACTGAGGTAATATTCATATGAGTCCTGTAAATGTAAGCAGTCCCCTTTTTTTTTTCTACCCATTCTCCCATGTGCATCCAGTTTCCTTTATGTCCAGCTGCTGCCTTGACACCCTGGCTTCCTAGAAAGAAGCATAATTATAGTTCTCTGGCAGAAAATAGCAATGCTGATAAATCTAATAGCTCACAAAGACATGGCAATATATGCATATCCCTTTTCCGAGAATCTTTGCATAGTCTTTGCATGTTGTAGAAACAAAAAAAGTGGATTTCGGTGCTAAGGAAAGAAGTAACTTCTCAAATTTTACTTACAGCCTATATTTTGTTATTTCACATTGGGAAAACATGCTTAAAAATTATCTTTTTTTATCATTTTGCTTTTCTAGACAATGATGGTTTGCTTTCTGAGTTTAATGAAGAAGTGGAGACACACTATAATTACATAAAGGATAATCTAGACAGTAATATCCCATCAAGTCTCAGAGTCCTTCGTGCAGTTGTGGATTCTTTACACAAAAAGATACAAAAACTGGAAAATGCCATTGCAACCCAAATGGACTACTGCCGCTCCCCTTGTGTTGTTTCCTGTAATATCCCGGTGGTGTCAGGCAAAGGTACCTCATTTAGCTATAAAAACATTTTTCTCTTCTTGTATTTACATCGGTGTACCAGGTCGCAGATACATCACTAGTTTGCATGAACACTTGTCTGAAGCTTGTGACACCAATTAAGATGGCAGAAAAGATGGCCAGAGATCCAACATGACAAAGTCTTTTGTGTGTTAGTCAGACTATCATTTTATCCTAAATCTGTGTTCAATGGTGGTCAGCAGTAGCTTTAACAAATTTGTAGTTTGAGGGCTTTATAAGGTGTAGGTGATATATTTGTTATTGTATTTGTGCCACAGTAGGTTTTTCCTTTATGAGCCTCTAGAATTCAAGAAGTCATTGAAAAACATATAGTCTTCAATCTCTTGGGTTCAACTTCTAGAAATGATTCTCTGGAAAAGTAAACCAATACAAATACACTGTTCTTTCTTAAATGATTCCTTAATGTGACCTATCATGAAAATCAGCATGGAAGTAGATATATCTTTGAAACTGTTCACATGAAATAGGCAAAGAAAGATAAGTACACAATTGAAGCAGAAGTTCAGAGCTTTTTAAGTAACAGACACTTTATAATTGCAGAATGTGAAGATATTTTCAGAAAGGGAGGTGAGACATCTGAAATGTACCTCATCCAGCCTGATGTTTTCACCAAACCATATAGAGTATACTGTGACATGAAGACCGAAGGTGGAGGTTGGTGTGAAATAATTATGTTGTCAAAACATTAATTAATATGAATGTTACAAAAATCATTTGCACAAGTACTTGTCATTTATGCAAGCCAGTATGGAGTTATATTTTTATATAGCTCAAGAGTGAAGTCTAACTAACCAGTTAAAAAAGATCTTGTTGGTCATCTTCAGCTGCACAGTAGGATATTTTTTCAGTGCAACTGGAAATAAATTGTTGGGAAGGGATAAGTAGATAAAAATGCATCTTATTATGACTAGAGTGGATAAAGTTCTGGCAGATATGGAGGAGATTGCTCATTTCTTACTCTGCCACTGTGCGCTATTCATGAAATTGGGGCATTCATTCAAGTTCTGATTTTTCGACCTTTACTTGTGAAGCAAAGAAGCAAGTTAAGCTGAACTAGAGATGAAAACAGGAAAGGGCTTTATGTTAACATTCTAAGTTCCTTTTTTAATAGCAGTTTAATCTGAATACTGCTATTCCTGCAGGATGGACATTGATTCAGAACCGCCAAGATGGCAGTGTTAACTTTGGAAGAATATGGGATTCATATAAAAAGGGTTTTGGAAATGTTGCAAAGAGTGGAGGGAAAAACTACTGTGATACACCAGGTAAACCTGTCAACATAAAATATGAAGAGTTCTTGTCACTAAAATTATTTTTTCATGTTTCTTGAAGCTCTTTGACTTTTTAAAACTTAACTAGTCCAAATTAGCAGTCCATAGGCAAATCATAAACCTGCCTTGGACTACAGTACGAAATTGATTTCTTAGAGCTCTCTTTTTTTGTTTTCAGGTGAATATTGGCTTGGAAATGACAAAATCAGCCAATTTACCAAAATAGGGCCCACTGAAGTTTTAATTGAAATGGAAGACTGGAATGGTGATAAAGTTTCAGCTCATTATGGAGGGTTCACCATACAGAATGAAGGCAACAAGTATCAGCTTTCAGTTAGTGACTACAAAGGCAATGCAGGCAATGCTCTAATGGAAGGAGCATCACAGCTGCATGGAGAAAACAGAACAATGACAATTCACAATGGCATGTTCTTCAGTACTTATGACAGAGACAATGATGGATGGTATGTATTTGCATAAGCTACTTTTTAAAATTAAGTATTGAATTGTATATCTCCCTGCTTAAAATAGAGCTAAATATAGAGTATTTTGCTTATTTGCTGTAGTTTTCACAGCATACTATAGTATATTAAAATATACCATAAATTGTCTTAATATAGACAAATGGACAAATATGGCAAATATTCTCAGAGACTAATGCTAGCAGTGCTGAGGACCACAGCCATGCCTCAGTAGGAATATTGTTAATGACTCCAGTAACACAGTAATGGGCCCTAATGAAACATAGATAACATCTTATTCAAAATATAAAGTTGTACCTACTCTGAAGACAGAAGCTCAGTTGTTAAGCATGTAAGTTAGCACTACATCTATGTAGCACTATATCTACTATATGTATTATGTTTTTAAGTAAAAACTTGCCAGTTCCATATTTACTAATGAAAAAATCGTTTGGGCTGAGAAGGACATACCATTAATATTGTTTTACATCCTTAAGTTGCAGTGATATTGCAATTACCTTTATCAGCTGGAATTAACTGTAGCTATCAACTGCTAGATTGAAGTAGCATTTCTGAAGAAACATAGCTAAGCTTGTACTTGTTTTTCTTTGAAACTTCACTTTCCAAGTGCACTGTAGAGCCCAAGCTTGTGAGAGAGAGTCTTTCACAAAAAATTCAGAGAGAATTTTAAGTATTTGCTATGAAAATATCAGTACAGGGACATGAGTATGAACTGTTGAACTTGTGGTTCATCTTCGTTGCTAACTCTTCCTTTCTCCTCTCACAGGGTAACTGCAGATCCCAAAAAGCAGTGCTCCAAGCAAGATGGTGGTGGGTGGTGGTACAACCGCTGCCATGCAGCCAACCCCAATGGCAGATACTACTGGGGAGGGAGCTACACCTGGGACATGACAAAACATGGTACAGATGATGGTGTTGTGTGGATGAACTGGAAAGGCTCATGGTATTCAATGAAGAAGATGAGCATGAAAATCAGACCATACTTTCCACACTAACCATTTTCAAAATGTACAGAATTTCAGGCTTTCTTTTCATATTTGTGCCTGGTTAACTTTATAGTCATAATATTCGCTTGGTATTTGTATATGAGAACTAAATACAACAAAGTGTACGTATAAACATATTGTGATGACAAAATATGACAAAAGGTATGTACGAGCACATTGTGATGGAAAGCAAAAAGCTGTGTGAACTACAAATCAAAATCTGACCTGTCAAAATAAACCACAGATATATTTTGTACTTTTCATTTGTACCCAAAATCGAAGCAGTTAGCAACTGTCAGTATAGAATAACACTGATGATAAAAATATCCATTTCATTGTTTCACAAAGAAGTTCCATTCTTCACCTGAAGAGAGAAAGAACTATTTTTAAAATGCTTTCTATAAAATAAACAAAATCTTAAAGTTTTCTTCATATATTTTTTGATTTTTTATGCATTATGTGGGCAGAAGCAAGCATACTCTCCACAGTGAGGGAGTATCTTTTCCTTTTAGATTCAAAGTTATGCTAACTACCTATGTAACAAGTTGAGAAGGAATAAAGTAAAAAACATATATATTATCTAAAAAAATTCAGTTTACCAATTTCTTTGTTCAGACCCTAAATGCTGAATCCTGTGGGAGTTGGCTCATTAGTGTACTTCATCTTATCCCTTTCCTCTTCTCATTGCCTTTTATCATTGAATAAAACACAGTATTAGAATACCTGACTGGTATGTCTTCCACACAATTTCTATTGTGTCTCTAGAGCAATTAGTGGCTCCAATCATAGGATCATTTTTGTTTGAAGGAAATATTGGAGGTGACTGCTACCGGTGGATGGATCTCATCTGCAGCCTCTCCAGTTGATTTAATCTGTGAAATTTGGAGGAACAAGGAGGAGACATCTTGGTAGCATCTCATTACATGGAAACATTTGGGATCCCTGCAGTGAGGGAACAAAAACACATGGCATAAAGCAGAAGCCCTTTTTCCAAAGCACAGCCAGGCACATAGCTGCATATGGCTGTAGAGATGTCTCGGCTTTTCAGCAGACTCTCCAACAAGGTTGGGCAGTAACTGAGCTTGAGAGATGCTGAAAAAGAATTAAAACTGAGCATTTTTATAAAAGTGCACAATGGTATTGTTAAATGGTATGACAAAGTGGTCACCAGGAAGAGTAGGGGATTTGCTCATGCTCATTTCTCGATAGAAATACAGGAAAAAAAAAGCAGTGAATATTTGTGGTATAATTTTATGTCATAAGGTACAGAGACAAACATAGCACATTCTTTGTAAATTTGTTATAGCAGCTTTTTTCATGCGCCAGACTGCTTTTTTTGTTAAAAAATCCCTATCACACACTATATCATAGAATCATAGAATGCTT